AAGAGTTTTTTGTAACTCGAACTGAAAGCCTGGACACTGAGCATTCTCAGAGTTTGGGTTGGCCCTACTTTGACTATGTGGATTTATAAACAGGCAAGAGAGGGAAGTTACAGTATTGTTTTTTACTATGTGGGTAAGAATTTTACCATGTGGGTCCCATGCGCAAGAAAGTCTTAAAACCCAGGAATGTTCCTTTTTAGAATTCTTCTCAAAAGGCATTATGCTTTAGACTCTTCATTCACGACAGACATGCGCATCTTGTCATGTCTGGCAGTAAAAGGCGGCTACAGTTGTTTAGATCTTTCACATGCCTTTAGATCTAGAGAATGAGCAAAGAACGCTGGGTGTGAAAACCATGTGTGGGGCGATAAGTTCTTCAAGATGCAGAGTGCACATCTTTTCTAAAAAGATCACTGCATGTGCATCGAATAAAACTCTGCCCCATCCCCACCACTGGGGACTGAATCCAGAGCCTCTGCAATGAGCTACAACCCTAGGCCCCACCCACTTTGAGTCAGGGTCTCACGAAGCTTCCTAGGCTGGGCTCAAACTTCTGATTCTCAGTATCTCAGACAACACTGTTTTTAAAAGTACAACATTTCAATGGTCCAAACTGGCCCTGTACAGATTCTAAGATCTGCTGAAATTCCATCCCAGCACAAAGGCTCAATCATCTGTCCTGGTCTGTGCAGGACTGTTGGGTCACTGAAACTTGGGATTTTCTGTCTTCCAATAACCCTAACTCACATTACGAGTGCTCATGAAGGAATGTGAGAGTGAAGAGTGCTTCGCAGAGTGATGTGCCAGGCTCAAGGGATCAATCAGCTCCCCAGGCTGTGGTATGGATGTGGGGAAATGCATGCCCACCTTCAGAGGCTATGCTAGCTTCCATCACTACAACAGAACATTTAAAATAATTAACTTATAAAGACAAAAGGTGTTTTGGCTCAGTTTTGAAGGTTCTCATCCTTTACCAAGTGGTGCTATTGTTTTGGTCCTCTCACGAGGCAGCACATTATGGTGGGAACATATGGCAGAGCAAACACCTCATGGCCAAGAAGCAAGAGAAAGAGGGAGGGGGCGGTGTTCCAGACTCACTTTCAAGGGCAGTGACTCAAGAACCTTCCACAAAGGCCTTCCTCCCAAAGGTTCCACCACTTCCCCAAGGCACAACCCTGGAGATCAAGCCTTTAACACACGGGCCTTTCTAGTTTAAACATTCAAGATCCAGACTTCTAGCAGAGGGCAAAGTATTGCTGGCCCCTTGACAGTTTCCACCCCAGGAGATTCCAGATGTGATGGAACCAAGTGCTACAGCTGAGAATTTGGCTAGGCATATTGCCCATCTCCTCTGAGCACAATTCTAGGACTAGCTTAGGCACAGAGCGTACTCCTGCGATTTAAGGTCTCAGTGCATGTGCTAGAGAGCCCTAGAAAGAACTGGGATTTCTGACAGTTATGAAGTCACCTTGAAATAAAGTAAGTCAGGATCTTCTGGTAGTGCTTTTCTGTGCAAATTAAACTATTTTCAATACTAAATATGAACATCTCTCATCGTATGGACAGAGTTTTTAAATGTTTAACTGCCATGCGTGACACTAATTACTCTCCCTCCCCTTTTTGAGACAGAATCTTGCTATGTTGTTCGGGTTGACCTTGAACACGTGGGCTCAAGAAATCCTCAGCCTCCTGGGTCAGTGGGAGTACAGGAGCATTCACTGCGCCCAGCCAGTATCCCTTTAGTTGCAGTACTGAGATATGGAGAAGTCCATTCAGGATTTTCCAAGTGACATGTTTCCTTCCCATGGATAGTCAGACCTTTGTGTAGTGCCTCTAAGATTAGAAAAGTGGTTCTTTAAATTTTGTCTCCCATCTTATACTAAGTTCACATTTCTTCAACCATTTTCCCCCATTTATTGGAGAGGGCAAAAGCCCACCACCTAGAAATTGTATATCTCTTGACTAAGGCTGAATTATCTGAATTTATTTTTACCTTCTAGTTAGATGACAGGTGTATGTGGTTTTGAAGCTGACAGCAAGGGCTCTGATGTCACATGCCTGAATGGGAATCTCACTGGCACTCTAAGTTTGTGTGACTCACAGCCACCTATACTCTTAAGGGCGAGGCTGAAGGCTTGTTAGATAAATTATGGTCTGGGTTATAGTGCTTTTGGACTAAGTATCTCCTTTCTTCCCGATTCGTAAACCAGTATTTAATGAATTTCTGTTTGCTTCCTGTGTTAGTCTCTTTTGTGACAGAAACCTAAGGCTGCAACACTTACAAAGAACAAAGATTTTTTGGCATTCTGGAGGGTGACAGTGCAGCTGAGGGGCCTGTGCTTGGCAGGGCCTTGGTGCCGCATCGTCCCCTGGTGAAAGGCAGATGGGCCGGAGAGCACATGAGAGACAGGGTAGGAGAGGGGACTGTCTCCATCAGGACCACACTCCCACGTAACAGCATTGAAAATACTTCCCACGGCTTAACGCTTTCACGTGAGGTGCGGTTTCTAAAACCTGAGCTTTGGGGAACACATTTATATTGCAGTTCTCCCTAATCTCAGAGTAAGAAGCGAAGACCAACTGTTTCTGTAATTGCTCTGCTGAGTGGATTCCTGCAGAACAGATGAAGAATGCTCTCTTTATACACAATTTACTGACAAATTAAGGCCATAACCTTTTGAATGATTTAAGATCAATAAACATCATCTGAAACTATTTTTTAACGATCAACAGTCTTGCCTTAGCCAAGGATCTGCCAACAGTTTATTTCACAAAGCTACAGAATACTATAACTAGCATTAATAAGTATGAAGAATTTAGTAATATTAGTACATAAAAATCCTTTCTGAAATTTACAAATGCTACCCCCATAAATTTTAGCAGAACTGTAAGCATCCTGTGTGCCAAATTACTCTTAAATCTTATTTTACAAGCATTTAAAAATGTATTTGAATTACCTGGTATGGTTATACAGTACAAGTGAAATTACCATATTTTCTGGAATCTAGACTTCAAAAGGCTCTACTAAGTGTTTGTTGGTCTCTGGAGTTTCTCTACCTTATACATTTTTGAGAGCAAGGTACATGTTTGTCATGAAGGATTTAGAGTTCATAAAGACAGGAAGAGGAGTTTTAGAGTCTCATATCACAGATTGACACAAATCCTAAAACTGGTTCACAGTAAACAGATTTGTGGCAGGATTTCCTACTAGAATTGTTGTAATTTCTGGTTCCTAAATAATATACATTTAAAAATGATCTGAAGTACAAGCAGCTATAATATAAAAGGCAATGTATTTGATATACCATTTAAAATATGTGTCCAATGGAGTTGACATTTTACAAGAAGGCCAGCTGAATTTAAATATTGCCTATAAAAGTATCCTGAGCCTGCTCAATCTGTCAAAAGTAAAAAACAAAAACCAAACCAAACCAAACCAAACCAAAAAAACCCCCAGGAGTTCAATAAAATTTCATGCTTTAAGCACTAAATTTTTTAATCTAAAGTACTAAAGTAAACAAAACACAACACCAACTTTATGGTGAGACAGTCCATAAGCAATAAAACATTCTTGGTGACCTTCTAAAAATCAGGCTTGTACTTAATGTTAAATAAAAGAGATGAGCCGAGTATAGCGGCACATTGCAATCCCAACAACTCAGGAGGCTGAGGCAGGAGGATCACAAGTTCAAGGCCAGCCTGTGCAACTTAGGCAGATGATGAGATAGAGAAAGAGGGATGGAAGGAGAGAAAGAGGAGGAGAGGGAGAGAAGAAGGGAGAGAGAGAGCAAGAGGGAAAGAGAGGGAGTGGAGAGAAGAGAGTGGAAGAGGACAGAGAGAAAATTATAGCCCATGAGGCCAGGGGTTACTGCTCATTTTGTAAAGTTTTATTGGAACAACCCTATGCCCATACATTTATGTATTTTTCTGGTTCCTTTTGCTATAATTACAGAGGTGACTAGTTGCAACAGAGACCACAGAGTTCTGGTATACTGAGAAAAGTTTTCAAATAAAATGAATAGTAAAATCATTATTAAAAGGAGAAAAATATCCCCAAATACTTTGGTTTAAAAGTAGCACTGTGAATATTTAAATACATTTTCTGTTTTTTTTTTTTTTTCCGGTACCGGGAATTGAGCTCATGACGTTGCGCTTGCCAGGCAGGCTCTGTGCCGCTGAGCTAAATCTCCAGCCCCTAAATACATTTTCTTTAGAATACCTTTTTAAAAATTTAAAAAGAACAAAACATGCACCTTTAAAATCAGATACTTAACTGTTGAAATCTTCACAGGTAAGTGACCTACATTTGAAAATCCTACTGCTTAGCAATATAGATGTTAATGGTTACTTAACTGAGATCAAGCTCTACGGTTGGCCAGTAACTGTGCTTAGTGGAGCAAGGGTTTCCAGTACGTTTAGAACCAAGAGAGCTATGAATATCATCCAGCAAGTCAGCTCTAAGAATTTCCACCCACACATTTCCCGTGCATCCGGTAGTAGCACACTACAACAGCCTGACAGTCAAACCCGACAGACATACCCTTGTCACGGAGTATGTGACCAAGTCTTATAGACGAGCTTGTTTCTTCCATCAAAATTAGGGAGCAAAAACAAAACAAAGCTCAAGAGCAATCATAAAAATTTGAAGAGAAAAAGAGAAATACACAAGAGGGTAGTAGGGAAGATGCTCGGTTCACACTGCACTTTCATTAGGAGGCTATTTTTGGAGCCACATTATTAACTGTTTTGTAGAGACGGTTGTATCAGGCAGGCTGTATAGCCAATGTGTAAAATGACAGTGATCCATTGTAATAAATATAAACTCACCAGGTTATTGACAGAGAAATTCCACATGCTAAGCAACTCAAGTATGATGGAATTTTAGAAGTTTGAGGTAAAAATATACTTGAAATTACAATTGAATTAGACAAGATAAACCTCAAAACCTATCAAGCTACACAGGTCATGAGGACAGAAAGCAAACTCTGGGTTACCTGAAGTGCATTTATTAGCCACAGTGATTTATTGAGTGCTTTAATAATATAAGTGTACATCAACTGATCCACAGTCAAAAGTGGCAGGTCCCTAAGAAATTTACAAGCACTTTCAGTAAATCAAAATACATATTATTTTTGTTCAATCCAATAGTCTTCTGCGTGGGGGACAGAAGGCTAGTAATAAACAGGGTCTCAGTAATGCACAGTGATTCTGATTGAAGCTTTTGTACAAAAACTTGTTCCCAGTAGCATGCACCCACCAATAAAGACTTCAGTACAAAAAATTAACCCTAAGCACTACATTTAAGTAGAAACAAGATATAATTCTGAATTTGTGTTTTTCCAATGATCACATAAAAGAAAAAAAAACCAAAATAAAACAAACACAAAAACAAAACCACACAGTAATACAAAGCTTTGTAAGAAAGCTCTTACTATTACAGATCCAACATCATCTGCACTGAAAACAAAAGTTCCCGTCCACACTGAGGTGGGGAAAAAAATCCAAAATCTTTCAAGTTAACAGAAAAGGAAAAGAGAAAAGTGAGAGGGAGAGAGCAAAGGGGAGGACAGAGGAGGGAGAAAGGAGGAGGAAGGGGCGATAAATGACATACCATCACAAACAGTTCAAAATTTAATAAAACTAGGAAGATAAGAACCGAGGTCCAGAGGGTGGGACAGGGCTATTGATGCACTTGGTGAATGTGCTTGCACAGGTCCGGCGGGGGCGGCGGGCGCGGGCCCCTAGGTGGCGTACCGCTTGGTCCACTGTCTGGCCATCCGGTCATGCTCTGCTCTGTTGGTCATGTACTGCGTGGCAATGCTGCCCACCAGGGGGTCGGCTGGAAGGGAAGCAAAGTCAGTAGTCAGCGATATCAGCACCTCTTCCTTTTCCAAGTCAGGGAAGGGCGTCTAGAAAGTTGGCCCTTGCTCAAGGAGGCAAGGAGCTGTTGCTCCAACCTGGAACACCACTACAGCAGGGCCAGTGGCCTGCCCAGAGGCTACGTTTCACACAAAATGCTTGAAGAGTCATCTGTGTTTTACTGCTACCTTTTATCATAGTTCTTGATAAGCCTTACTCTCCCTGTTCCCACCTTTGTCTTTCAGTGGATATTTTATAGAAAAGATGCAGGCAGGATATGGAAAAAGGCCAACAGGATCCTCTAGGGTGAGATCTCTCAGGAAGAGCTTCAGATGACCCGGACAACTCCTTTACCTAGGGTTAACTCCACAGGCAGTGGCTGCCCTTGTAAATCTCATTACCTTTTTTGGGGGGCACTGGGAATCAAACTTGGGACCTCACACTTGCCAGATAGGCGCTGCAACCTTCATTACCTTTTAAGCATGTCAGCTGAACACAACCAAACACCAGCTGTTAGATCAAGTGAAATAGAGGAGAAACGGCCTAGTTCTTCCTCCAATCAAAATGCACACAGCTCATTATTACAAAAATACTGATAGACATTAATAATAGGTAACACTTCCGCAATGCCTTAAACCCTCAATATGTTCTTCTTTTTTTTTTTTTTGTTTTTCTCCGGTACCGAGAACCGAACTCACGACCTTGCACTTGCCAGGCAGGCGCTTTTGCCGCTGAGCTAAATCCCCAGCCAAACCCTCAATATGTTAACGCTACAGATCTGTGAGAGATCTGTGAGAGAGCTGACACATGAGGAAATGAACTTCAAGAGGGTTCACCACTTGCCCAGTGGAGCAGGGCTTGGAGGTAGAGTCCATCCTCTCAGGTACAATGTACTCAGGGAAGATGGCTCATGACATCTATGTTTAATGTAAACAAACATAAACCAACCCCCCAAAACCAAAAAAAGGAAAAGAAAAAGAGAAAAAACTCTGGGAGCTGGGGATTTAGCTCAGTGGCACAGCGCCTGCCTGGCAAGC